GGGTTGGCTAGTCTTTATTGATAGAGCAGGTTTGGCCATTTTTTATGAACTTGAACCTTATTTTACATTCTTCTTCCATTTTATATAGGACCTTACAGTGTATCGCTGATCAGTAGTCGCAGCCAGGCACTATTTAATTTTTCTACTCTCTGGTTAGAAGAGATCATTAGTGAGATACTAGTGTTGTGGCCTTGTATCTGAGTTTCTGATTTCCTTTGTCTTCTTTTGCTCCATATGAGTAAAGATCAACAGTTGTATCTCAGATGCAAAAGTAGCAACCCCAGACGCTCCTCACCAAACTAGGATGTAGAAAAGTATCTTTATGAGCTGTGGCCAGGCCTGGCCCCACCATGGTGACCCTTGCTGAGCTGCTCGTGCCTCTGGCCACGCTGCTGGCTACAGCCTCAGGCTATTTCATTAGCCTCAAGGCTCACACAGAGGATTGCTTCTACAAGTGGGTCACCTTGCGCACCAAGATGTGCCTCATTTTTGAGGTGGCCAAGGGCGGCTTCCTGGACATCGGCATGGAGATCACAGGGCCTGACAATAAAGGGATTTATAAAGACGACTGAGAGTCCAGTGGGAAGTATACCTTTGCCACTCACATGGATGGAGTGTACAAGTTTTGTTTTAGCACTTGGATGTCCACCATGACTCCAAAGATTGTGATGTTCACCATTGACACTGGCGAGGTCCCTAAAGGACAAGACATGGAAAAGAACTCACCAGAACATGCTAGAAGAAATGATTAACGAGCTAGCAGTGGCAATGATAGCTGTAAAGCATGAACAGGAGTATATGGAAGTTTGGGAAAGGATACACAGAGCAATCAATGACAACACAAACAGCAGAGATCCTCTGGTCCTTCTTTGAAGCTCTGGTTCTTGTTGCCATGACCTTGGGACAGATCTACTTCCTGAAGAGATTTTTTGAAGCCTGAAGGGTTGCTTAAAGAAACCTTTTCTGATGATCCCAAAATCATAACTGTTTACCAGACCTCCTGGTCACAATAATGTCACTAGTTTCCACATGTTTATTTTCTGAGCTTTACTTTCACAGCCTCTGTTTGTTGGTGACTCGTAAATATAGAGGGAAGACACTGTTTTAGGAAAGTGGGCATCTGATTGGCGTCACTTCTTTTTGGAATCCTGCCTCCCTGAAACAGATCCTTGTAGAACACGGACTGTAGAAATGAAAGGTAGCAGTGTAGTCCGTTTAATCTCTTCATTGTTTTTATAATAACAGGCAGTTTGTTCCAGACATGGGCACAAAGCCTGACAGGACCTTCTAAGATGACCCCACTCTGGAACCCCTTCCTGTAATAAAGTCAGGATAGGTTCCTTCTGGTGATTTCGTAGAGCAGACAACAGTCTGAATGTTACCGTGTTCAACCAGGCCAATGACAGGATTCTACAATTGTGCACCATGTCACCATGAGGCAGGAATTTCATAGCCTCTTGATCTGACTTTTTATTTAAAGATTTGCCCAAACACACGCCAACCCCCTGCCCCTGAGTTTTTGCATTCAGCCTTAGGATTCAGTCACCTTTCACTGCAATTGATGACCAGCCGCTCACTGGCTGACCACTCTGGGCTCTGCCTGCTCTGTCAGTCTCTGTTCTTGAGCCCGTGCTCTGAGTGTTTCAGTGAACAGTGGCTTTCTTGTCTCTGTGTTGGCATGTCACCTTCTCCACTATTACACGTAGGAAGTGTCCTCTCACGTAATTGCAATAACCTAGATTTCTGATGCCAAAGGATTCAAGCTTCTTGGATATCTTGGATGGTTAAAGAGCCACTATTTCCAGCTTGTCAGTGGCATTTCGGACCACTGTTTAATTAGGGTACTAAACATTACTGTCTGTTCGAGGGTTTTGGTTTTTGTTCCTCTGGGCTTTTTCATTTTTGGAACATATGGATTTTGTTTTGTATAAAATGCAGTGGTTTCTCTTGTTCCCTGATGATGGGTTCAAAATTAAAGGCACATCTGGCTTTGGTGTGGGCTGATCCAGGATTATGTTGTGACTGATGTCTATTAATTACATCTACATGTTATTTATCTTCGCAAGGGGAAAACTACAAGTAACAAGTCTGATATAATTATTTGTTAAAGGTTTTCATGTTCAGGATAAACAATTTTTTTCAACCTTGGGTGGAAATACTTGCAGCAGTTTTTGTTGATAAGGGTGATAGGGTTTCACCTTGAGACAACTATTGCATGCCACATTATTTTGTTTGTGAAAACGTTTCAAAATGGAATTAACTGATAAAATTTAAAATTGTGTATCTAATATGCCCCAGGTTCCAGAAATAAACAATTATTTTTAAAAATAAAAACAAAAGCAAACAAAAAAGAACAGTATCTTTATGAACTATGCTATTCCATTTGACTAAATTTTCCCCTGAGACTATACCCCTAACCTTTCAAACCTAATAACTCAGTAAATAAGGTCACTTTCAAAGGTACGGGGGCGGGGGGCGAGGGGGCGGGAGACAAGGGGAGGGGAGACATAACTGTGCTCCCATTGTGTTTTAACTATTCATTTTAAATTGAAAGTAAAAAGGAAGTTAGCCACATTTCACTGAGAAGGAAACTGGAGGTTCAAGGAGACGAAGTAACTGCTCAAGATCACAAAGTGAATAATGTCATGCTCTTTCTGCTGTGCCAACTATCAGTGCCCACAGCAGCACACCTCCCAGCCACGTTACCGCTGCACCTGCTGAGATTCTGTCCTGGGTGTCCAAGGACATTCTTTGCCTGGTCATTCCCTAGGAAGTAGATTTTGAGATGGAGACAAGTATGCAGAACTTTGAGTATTAACATTATTATCTTTGAATGGATATCTGGCTGGGGGAGGCAAGGAAGGTGGCAGGATCGGGCACAGAGAGAATCTGGGCACAGGGCTCCAAAGCTGTTGCAATGACCACAACAGGCCACAAAGTGGTGAAGTAGGTTTTGACTTTTAGAGCTTGAAATCACACTTCAACCTCTTCATAGATCAACATTTGATATGGTTCCCCCTGAGCAAGGGTGTGGCCTGAGTGGGCTTCCCTTAGGCAGAAGGAGGTCTCAGAGTGCTGTAAACAGAAGCCAATCATCTGGTCTTAGGAGGGAGCTTGGTGGGGGTGGGACATCCTTCAGCCCTGAAGGAGGATCTTGGTCATTAACTGTCCATTGAGGATACAACAATGAAACTGTCCAATCATGTTCACCTCACTTCAGACCTAGTCCTGGGGCCTAGAGACGGGCAGTCTGCAGTATTAGTTTCATAGGTTGCTATAAAAAAACACCACAAACTGAATGGTTTGAAAGAGCTGAAATTTTATTTTCTCACAGTTTGGGACTAGAAGTCCCATTTACGTATGCTGTGACATGCTTCCTCATGCTTCCCTCAGAGAAGATTGTGTCTTTTCTTCTCCGCTTCTATTAGTCTCATGCTCTCATTGCTTTAGGTTTGCTTTAAGCAGTTGGAACCCAAAGGAAGGTCTTTTCCATTTGATTAACAGTCAGTTGTGGGCTGGTAGCTCTTTTTTATCTAATTAACAATCAGTCATGGCTATTTGGTCTTTTTTATTTAAGTCAGGTGTGGGCTATTTGGTCTTTTTTATTTCATTAACAATTAGTTGTCAACATCAAGAAAGCAAAAATTCTTACCACTGTACCAGTACACAAAATCATGATAGATGGGGGAAAGATTGAAACTACCAAGAGCTTCATCTTACTTGGATCCACAATCAACGCACTTGGTTCCAGCAGTCAAGACATCAGGAGACATATTGCACTGGGAAAATCTGAAGTTGGAGACGTCTCTAAATTATTGAGGAGCAATGATGTCAGTTTGAGGACTAAGATGTATCTGATTCAGGCCATGGTCTTTCTGATCACTTGATATGTATCTGAGAGCTAGACAGTGAATACAGATGACAGAAGCTGTGCTGTTGGAGAAGAGCATTGAACATCCTATGGACTGCCAAAAGAACAAACAAATATGTCTTAGAGAAAGTACAGCCAGAGTGCGGTTTGGAGGCAAAGACAATAAAGCTTCGCCTTGTATACTTCGGGTATGTTGCTAGAAGGGGCTATTCCTTGGAGAGGGACATAAAAAAAAAAAAAGGAAAAAAAAAAAAAAAGAAAGACAGAGGATCAGTGGAGAGAAAAACCCTCAGCTAGGGGGACTGACGCTGTGACTGACTCAATGGGCTCTACTGTGTCAGGAAGTGAGGATGGCACAGGATAGAACAGGGGTCTATGGGTTGTACTTGACTTTATAGCACCTAACAACTCATTGCTTTGAAAACGCTTTTTCACAAGGCTGTCTTCTGCTTTTTACAGTCACCACTCAGATTGGATTAGGACCCAGCCTACTCTAGAATGGCTGCAAATTAACATTTCCAAGCAAAGTCATTTTTCAGGAGTAAGGATATCAACCTACCCTTTTGGGGAGGAAACAATTCAATATACAATCTCTGGGTTTGAGGACACACCATAATCTCATACTCAGACTTATCCTTGTCTGAGGACCTAGAAGAGCTTGAGTCAGGCACTGGAATTCCCCCACAAACAATCCCTGCAGCACACCGTGCAGATGCTGAAGACTGAGTCCAAGGCCCGGAATGTTTCCAGAAATGGCTACATCCCAACCAACAGAAAGAGGGAGATTAGCATAGCTCTTGATTTTCAGCTCTCATTGCCCAACAGGCTCTGGCTAACCATAGCTCACCCAACCTCCATGTCAGGTGGGCTGGTCTTTCATGAACCCCATTTCACAGATGAGGAAACTCAGGCAGAGAACAGGAAGTCACACTCGGTCTCTTAGAGTTTTCTTTAGAAAGGGGCTGAGCTCCAGACTCCCAAACCCGGGGCGTGACAGTGTCATGCATTGCCAGCTTTAATCCTTTGCACCCACTGTGTCTGCCCACGCTCCCCTGCGAGTCCTAATGCCAGTCCCCATCCTATTAGGAGGTCTATTAGTTGGCACTGCTTTAACCCTTTCCTTCCCAAGTCAACATTGGCATGGGCCTGGGTGCTGCTTCCTGCTGGGGGGCCCAGGGCTCTGGGTCTTGTAAATGAGGCGGATGCCCCCCCAGTCTTCTTCCAGTTTGATGTCCCCCTGCTGTAGGGCTTGCTGGATGGCATCAGCGAGGATGTCAAAGGCCAGGTCCACATTGCTGTTGTTTCTGGCTGAGGTCTCCACAAAGGCCATGATGCCCAGGGAGGCGGCCAGCTCCTCTGCCTCCTGAGCCGAGACACAGCGGGCACTCTGCAGGTCACTCTTATGGCCAACTAGCAGGAAGACTGCCTTGTCTGGGCCCTGGCTGGCCATGACCTCCTGATGCCAGTCTCGGATGTGTTCGAAAGATGTCCTATTTGTCACGTCAAAGACTAGCAGGACACCCACCACATTCCGGTAAAAGGACCTGGTGATGCACCTGGTGGGGAGAAGGGGGGTGAGTTGGGACTTGTTCTTAACTCATTTCACACTGTGCTGTGTGTCTCTGTTTCTAGGGCTCTTCAGAGAAGGTAACAGTTTGATCCACATACTTTTCTCACAATTCAGAGTTTAGAGTCTTTTTCTCATTTTTCTAAACTTCAAAACTCAACTGAATTATCTCTTCCTTTGACCTCCCCCTTTCCATGCTCCTAGCCTGTCTCAGCATCTGGGCTGTTAAAATCTTCATGTTTCAAAGTCTCAGTCCCTTTCCCCACAAGGCCTGGATGTTCCTCCAGGATGGTCACTTGAGTGAGGAGGCCTTTGGGCTGTCAAGTCGGACCAGTGTCGTTAGGGAATGAATGACTGGAGTGTTGTTGTTAGGTGCCGCTGAGTTGAGTATGACAGCAGAGCCGAACCCAGTCCTATCTTGTGCCATTCTCATCATCTCTGACACACCTCGGTCTAAGGCTTCAGTCACTGTCATTCTTTCACTGTCCCCTCCACCTTTCAAAGCATGATGTCCCTTTCCAAGGAATAGGCCCTCCTAGCAACATGTCCAAAGGATTTGAGACTTCGACGGGAGTGGGGAGGGTCTGTAGCGACAGACGCAGGACAGAGCCCCCTGAACCCTTGGTGTTGCACTGTGAGGGGCGCTGGATAGGACGGCAACCCCCCCCCG